ATAATATAATACAAACTGCATGCCAAAAAGATATAGAATAACAGAATGTGAAAAACCATCAACAAATATAAAACACACAAAGGGTGAGAGCCTGAAGTACCCGCAGAATCTATGTGCCTTATTTATAATTAAAAAGACGACCACACACACACACACACACACACACACATATAATATAAAACTACAGAGTTTATCCCTCATGAGCCACATAGTAAACGTTTACGAGAGAATATTGGAAAAATAGACGCCAAAATGGAAAACAGCTTTAGACCACGAGGGGCCACCACACTCCAAATATCAACCATTAAATTCTGTCTCGAAAAAATCTGGAATTATGACAGGTAACATTGCTTGTGCTTCCTTGATCTAGAAAAACTTTCAACAAAGTTCCTCGAGAAGAGATGTGGAATGTTTTAAGTATCGTAGGTGTACAAGCGACTATCAAAGCAACCAGTAGCACATATAAGGACCAAGCCAGAACTGTCATTGGAGGAGAGAACTACAGTATTTTGACAAATTCTGGTGTCAAACAAAAAAGTGTCCTCTCCTCGGCCATCTTTGTCATTTTAATGGATCAAGTAATTAGAAAAGTTGGTCAAAGAGATAGAATGATTGAGCAATTCATTTGCGCGGAAGAAGTAGTCCAGACAGCGAGTTAGGCAATGTCCCATGTGCGAGCATCCTGCGGCATTGAGCTACCACACCAGTAAACGCACTACCTTGTTGTAGCGGACAAATATATGTTTTCTTTGATGTGTCCCACGTAGACGCGTGAAGCGTTCGTGAGCGACCAGGAATCGGGAACCAGACGCGCGACCTGCAAGCAGCGATCAAATATTTTGATCGTCGCTTCCTCAGTCGCACGAGTCCTCTCATTCTACACCAAAACTAAAGAAGGCTATACTTTAATTTTCCACTGTTAACAGCTTGATCTTGCTAAGAATTAGATCCTTTTGGACTATTAAAATAGCTGCAGAATGTTTGTCTCACATTCTTTGCAGATAAATGTGAAGTATTGTTTATTCTAGAATCTAGAGGGTGCTGTGTTATTCTCAACTGTCCATTCTTGAATTGCATATGACTTTACTCCAGACCCTCTGTATCAATGATGATATTATGGAAAAGTGTAGCACACTTTACAATGTCAACAGCAGTATCTACCTTTGTTTCAATAGCTTTA